GCTCTGCTGCCGGTAAACCGACTTATCCCAAGGAAACCCAAGAGCAGGAAGCGAAGCGGAAAAGGTAGAGTGGGTACCGTAATGTCATGTCTAAAGCACGCAGCAGCACACCCCCCCCCGCCACCCCCCGCCCCGACACACCCTGTTCCTTGGCTTTAGAACCCTTTCATTGAGCGAAGCATGCGAACGGCTCCCACTGCCTCCATCTAGCTGCAACATTGGCTTACCAAAGTACAACGCATACAAGTCACACCCCAGGTAGAGAGCATAGGATCCCCTAAAATCGTGGAAAATGGGAGTCGGGGGAAGGTGTATGATGGGGCAAACACCTTTCTCCCAGAAGGAAGAGGTAACTGGACCAGATATTTAAAACAGGCATTTGAGTCTGGAATCCCGGAGTGATAAGAGGATCACAGAATGAATGTTAGAACTAAAAGAAATCTTAAGAGATTATGTTTTTCCAACCTCTTCATTTTATAAATCAGGAGACTGAGGCCCAGAGAACATGAAGTGACTTTCCCAAGGCCAAAAACAAGTAGCAGAGTAAACACTTGAACTCAGGGCTTCTGGCTCCAAATTCAGCTTTCTTTCTGAACAATCTGGCCACTCTTATACAGCTTCTATTCAGCATCTACATGCTTGTGACAGTATCCTGGGCCTTGTGAGGTGTCAGCTACTTTCTGCTCTGGAGCAACCTCAAGGGAGTGTCTGGAGGCTGAGAACCAGGGAGGTCTTATCTTCCCCTAACGACTCAGATCCAGAAAGAACCGAGAACTTGCTATCCTCTCATCGAGGCAGCCCTGGATCAGTGAGACATCACTTTCCCTCTCTGGTTCTCAGTTTCCTCATCTGTAGAATGAGAGAGTTGGAGTTGGAACAGATAATCCATTCCAGTTTTAGTGTTCTGTGATTCTGTGAAAAATAGAATTGGGTTCCCAATAGGGAAGTAGGGGTACCCATGCTATAGACCATGGCCCAATTACCACCAACCAATCAATCAACAAGAATTAATTACGGATCTACTATGTACCAGGCACTCTGCTAGGGGCTAGCCCAGCTAAGAGCTAGAAACTCGAAGATAAAAGTGAACTAATCTCTGCCTACAAAAAGCTTACATTCCATTGGGGACTATGCAATATTACCTGCAGGTTAGGTCCTTTGCACATCAGGTTACATAAACCTAGTCTAGAAACTCTTGTATAAGACAAAGACACTGACAAGGATACAGACTGACTTCTAAATAAACACTGCACAAATGCAGAGTCTGCTCCACCACCTTCTCCAAGGAGTATTCAAAATCCCAATTCCTTTGAGAAATCTTCCTTTAAAGCATATGAACTGATGCAAAGAGAAGTGAGCAGAACCAGGAGAACATTGTACACAGCAATAGCAATATTGTACAGTGATCAACCATGAGTGACTTAACTATTCTCAGCAATACAATGATCTGAGACAATTGTGAAGGACTTATGACAAAAAATACTATCCACCTCCAGGGAAAAAACTGATGGAGTATGAATGCAGATAGAAGCATACTTTTTTTAAACTTTATTTTTCTTGGTTTTTTTTTTTTTGGAGGGGGTCTGTGTTTTCTTTTGGAACATGGCTAATATGGAAATATGTTTTGCATGACTTCAAATGTATAATCTATATCAAATTGCTTGCTTCTCAAGGAGGGGAAGGGGAAAGAAGGAGAGAGAGAATTTGGAACTCAATTGAAAAAACATGTCAAAAAAATTTACTTGTAATTGAGAAAAAGAGAAAAAAAAGAAATCTTCCTGTACTGTTGGGAGTGACTCACTTCCTTTCTCTGGGCTTCTACTACCTTTTTTGTCAAAGGGGAGGGTGGATGAGGTCAGTGATTCCCAGCTTTTTTTTTTTTTTTTGAGAATGAAGACTTTTTTTCAATGGCAAAATATTTCATAGTAACCCCTCCCATCATGATAGCAACTCTTCTGTCTGCACCCATAGATTGAGATGGTACATGATGAGAAAAAGCTATTATGAGATTAGTTTCTGTATTTTATTCATCATATCAACCACTGCTTATGTTTGAAAAATAGATATATAAATGAGAAATTTGATTTATTTAGGGTAACATGCAATAGGGCTGGGCAGGCTGATAGGAACCCAATTTTCTAGGTTGATTACACATTACTACTCTCCTCAGTCACACTGTTCCAACAAAACTGTCTTGCTGTTCCTTATACATGAAATTCCTTCTTGTCTCTTCCTTTGCACAAGATGTCTGTTCCATGCTTGGAATGCTCTTCCTTCCCCACCTCCATCCCTTAGGATGCTTTGATTTTTGTCTTTGTGTCACTAGCACCTGGGACAGTGCCAGAAACAGAGTAGACACTTAGTAAGCACTTGTTGATTACTTAGGTATCCAAAAGGAGGTTCATTTTGGCCTGAATGTGGCCTCTGCATTCTTTTCCTCCCTCCTGGGCTGGAAAATTTGTAGAAGATTCATAACTGGAAGGGAAGTTATTGATTATTTTATCCAATCCCTTTTTTTTACAGAAAAGGAAACTGAGGCCTGGATTAAGTGACTTGCCCAAAGTTACACAGGGAAGCAATTCAATGCAATTCAGCAAGCTACTACATTCCATACCCTGTGCTAGACTCAAGAGATACAAAAACAAACAAAGCAGTCCCTACCCTCAAGGAGCTTACATTCTGTCATAGGGAGAGGACAAAAATTCCTATACACTTACTATGTATGTATGTGTATATATATATGTATATGTATATATATATAGCATATAAATATGTAATATATAACTATATTGTATATCCACTATATACTATCTAAAGATATAATTTTAATAATCTAATTTAATAATATAAATATCTATATAATAATTTTGGAAGGATAGGAACAGCACAAACAAATAGAAGGAGCAGGAAAGTCCCCCTGAAAGGGGTGGCCCTGGAGCTACCTTTAAGGGTAGTAGACAGTGGAGAAGGCAGAGCCAGCATTGGCAGAGGTAATCGGAGTCAAGCGTTAGCTAACTAGCATGCTAAGGCTCAGCTTATTTAGTGTATTAGTGTAGGATAGAGGGAGCATAGGCAATGTGAGACAGCTCAGAAGGGTGTGTAGATGCCTTCATGGATATGACCTTCAAGAGAATCTGAACTATTCAGTAGAATCTGAACTATTTTTGTCCTTTAAGGAGGGCCTGGGTGCTGGGCCAGGGGCTGGACCCTCTCACTACTCTGTCCAAGGGAAGTATGCTAGGAATGTGCCTTATCCCTACTCAGTAGATGATCTCATCCTGATTATGGGAGTCTAACTGGAGTGTAATGAATTAATTTATTCATTAGTAATAATAACATATTATATACGATATAATTATATAATAATAATAATAATTCATTAATAATAATATTCATCATTTGATTTATTAAGTGCTTACTTTGTTCAAAGCCAAATGCTAAACCCCGGGTGGTAGTTGTGGTTGTTGTCCTTCATAGTCAAAGAAAACCAAAATGACATCACTATGTCATGTCCATCGTACAGTGTATCTGACTATGACTGATCAGACCAATATGAGCTTGGAAGGCTCTACCACAGGTCAGGCACAAATAGTCTGGATGAACATTTGGAATGGAAAACCTAGGTATACAAATAGAAAATAGGGAAGAGGGGTAGAACCTGCAGCCTCAAGGCCACATGGGGCCCTCTAGGTCCTCAAGTGTGGCCCTTTGAATCCAAACTTCACTGAACAAACCCACTTAATTAAAGGATTTGTTCTGTAAAACTTGGACTCAGTCAAAGGGCCGCACTTGAGGACCTAGAAGGCCCCATGTGGCCTTGAGGCCGTAGGTTCCTCACCTCTGGTTTAGAAACAGAGATAGGGAGACTCAACTGCAAATCAGACAGAAAGGTCTTAGTGGACAGCAGCCAGGCAGATGATGGTGAATCTTCTTTAGCATCATTTCCATTGATAAATTCATACCCATTCATTTGGCTGTGCTAAAAACTATGAAGGTGAGAACTTTATTTTCTAGGTCTTTAGTACCCGTGACTGAGAGACATATAAGCATCTTGAGGATAGGGACTATACCTTATATTTCTGTGTCTGTCAAACAGACCATTCTAAGACCAAGCACATCACAAGTACTCAGTAAATACTTGTGAATTATTGAAATTGAGAATGGAGAAAAGACATAGTGAGACACACCCCCACCCCTTCCCAAAGTGGCCATCATTGAATTACTGAAAGGGGAAGAATCTGGGCCAGGGACAGGCCTAATTCTCTCTCTTCCTCCCTCCACCTCTGCCTGAATGAAGGAATTAAAAAATTTTTTAGCCCTAGCTTTTCTTTGGGCTACCTGATTTTCCTATAGACTTTGTCACAGCAGGAGCTCCCAGGCCACACATTGCCTGGAGCCCAACCCAAAGGGCATCCCAGCTGGGGCTCAGTTCCTTCCTGCAAGAGAAGACCCCTGAGGTCCCATCCCTTTCACTGATCACTCTACTGGGTATGAGATCAGATGGGAAATTCCTACAAAAGGTCAAATGGAATGGCATTTCTTGCTGGGGATTTCCAAGCCAAATTCAGGGACTTTTGAGATCTTCATGATAATCTGGGTTCATCTTCCCTTTGTGATCCGTGTTTTAAAGAGTCACGGACAGCAGATTTGTCCACAAGAAGGTGCTGAGTCTGGCTCTAGGGGCCATATACCCTCTATGCTGCTCCACTCAGGCCATTGCTCCCATCTTCTCCCTTCTA